GCGTAAGTTTTCTGTCCAGTGTGTGCTGAATAAGGAAAAGATTTTATTCCTATGGGCAGATTGGTGGTAGAGAATATTTCTATATACGCAGTCTTTGAAAAGTCAACCAACAGCAAGATTTAAATGTGTCCCTTAGCAGAACCAATTTCTCTTAGTTCAGTGGAATGATAGGAAAGAAAACAAAGCATTCTTCCACAAATTCTTTTTTTCCTCTGTATAAGTAACCATTTGAAATCTTTGGTATGTGATTACTTTTGAAAATGGATGTACTTCAAGAAAGATACAGATTTTTTTGTGGTTTTCTCATTTTCATAAGGATGTTAACAGAAGTTTTATAAAATTCTTCTCCAAATAGATTGATATTTCAATCTACTAATATTTCATATTATTTTTTACTTTGATAGTTCTTTTGCAAAAGATGTAGTCTCTGGAATAACGTTAATGCTATATGTATATATGGTAGGTTCTTGACTGTGAGAGCACCTGTTCTGGAAAATTCTGACTACTAGACAAAAGCATGATGCTTCCTTCTTTCAGAAAATATAGATGACAATAAAAATATAACTCTCTATACTATTAAAAAAATAAATATGTAGATTGGAAACAGGAAGTTAGTAATTTCCTAAAATTCAACCCCCCATTTTAGATAAGAGTAACTAGTAAGAAGCTCAGTAGGGAAAACAGATAATAAAAAAAGAATGCACAGCCTGCACTTCCAGATGCTAGTGTCAGCCCTAGCATTGGCTCTGCTTTTAATGTAGCCAGTTAGAGTTGGAGAAGTAGGCTAGAAAAATGGTGACCATAAAAAGTAAGGTCTATGCATAAACAAAGCAATAATACTGTAGCTCAAATGAGTACTTTTGAGGTGTAAAATTTGCTTAAAACAATTGGAGGAAAGGTGTGTAGAAGTGTGATGTTCTCATTACTATTTAGCAGCATCAAGATATTTGGGCTGTCAGTCAGTGGACCAATCCAGCTCACATTAAGAGTTACCAAAATTCATTACCATCAACTGACCTTCCAGTGAAATAGTCTTTGTGTTATTCATGAGTCTCAATCTTTGAAATGTTGCAGACATCCTTTTCAAACTTGAAATTGCAAGTCATTCTAGCTAGAAGACCAGAGCTTTTTCTGACCTTATCATGCATAGATATTTGCTTGACAAGGGAGAATGAAATCATGTTATCCAAAAAAAAATACAACCTGATTTTTTTTTTTTCCACCAACCTCTTTCTAGTGGAAAATTTTGCGTTTCAAGGCTGCAAAGTTCTGTCCTTTTGACTCCCTCTTCATTCTTTTGAAATGCAGTTACCGTTCAGTGAAATGTAATTGCTCTATCCTATTTTTACAGCTGTTCCATGATGAACTGTATTTTAATAATGCTGCTAATTTTTCTTCTTGTATCAATTTCTCAAAATTTTATAATGCAAGAATCAGAGCGATTTTGAGTGTTGTTTTGTTTTGTAAACACAGGAAAATATCTGCAAAGACACATCACCAGGCCAACAACTTCAATATATTTGAAGGAATGGTCTGCCATGGAGTCCCAGTTGCGACAGTTTCAAGAGGCAAAGTAGTTTATGAAGGTGGAGCTTTCAATGTCACAGCAGGAGAAGGAAAATATGTTTCCCGTCCACCATTCCCTCCATATGTCTACGAACGAATCAGGCAGCGGGAACAGGTTAATTAAACTAATAAATCTCTGTAATGCTTTGTACAGCATGAGAATAACTAGCTCTTGGGAAGAGAGGTTTGGGGATTCAATGGTAATTTCTCTTACTAATCAAAATCTGCCAAGGTGGGAGGAAATGAAACTAAGGACTCAATTTTTATTGCTCTTTATCTTACAGAAAAATATCATAGACTAGTTCCTGTTCTTAGGGTAGTCTGTACTACTTGTAGACTAAGCCTGGGTGCTTGTTGAAATAACATGTCTCACTTCCAGTAAAAGTGGACAAAGTTTTGCTCATGAGTAATATAACTAACTGCTGCATTTTATCACTGAATTCACTGAAAACCAAACAGGCATAACATCATACGCAGGAAGAAATCTTATATTGAGGAGTTAAACCCTGTAGAATATTGAAGACTTAGTTCTATTCCAGCAAGAATGTTTTATAAGCTGAACATGTACAAACTGCACTGCTGGACCAAGCAAGACAGCTCTCTTGTTTATTTTTTGGGTTTTTTTGGTTTTTTGTTGATTTAGTTTTTAGGGGGTTTTTTAAGAGAAATATCACAAAATACACGAAGATTGAATTTTCAGTGCCTATTTACCACGCAAGCATTCATGAAGAATGCTTTTGCATCCTTAGTGTAACTCAGTTGTGAGCAGCACTTTCAAAAGCAGCCAGACTAAATGTATTTTAAAATCACAACCTGAATCAGTGTGATTCACTGCAAGATCTGAAAGTTGATTCAGACTAGCACCCATGTGAGATATAGCCCACTGAAATGCTTCCAAGATAATTCTGTTTATTTCTTCCAGTTGTTGTCTTGGTGGACTGAGAAAGGCATGTGAAAGTGACTGAGTGAGGCTTTCCTCCAAAAACACACTTTCAGAGGAGTTGGTGGGCTGCCTGCACATAATGCAGTGGATAGGCAGGGAAGTGCGCTCCTGACACACAGTTTTTCTTTGGGAACTAAAAGAACAGGAAACAGATTATTGCATTTATTATTGCATTTTGGGCGTTCGGGTTTTCCAAACATTAAGGAATTTTTTTTTCCTTTTTTTTTTTTTTTTTTTTGGTACTAGTACAAGTCAGTGTAAATTAGATAAACCAGAGATATTTTCAATTGCATTACTGCTAGCATCTAACTATGCTATTTCTATTTGCTTTTATTTTGAAACCAGATCCCTCATTTAAGTCTGTCCACAAATTTTATATATTCTAGGCACCTTTTCAATGTGAATGAACATTTATGTTTCTAGGGGAAAGGAAAGGCAAAGAAAATAATCTCTGCCTCTAGGACTTCCAAGATCTAGTAGAAAAGAAGTGAACCAGTAGTCCTAAGTGTGAATTTGTCTGGAAAAAAGATCTCCCCTTTCCACTGAACATGTAACTGAATTGAAAAAATTGCTCCAAAGGTCACTGCTCACCTACAGTAGACTCATTCTGCATTTTTAGTCCAGATAGATAGATTCTCTTTGCAGTGTTCCTCTTAGAAATAATTGTCCTATGGATCTATCTTCAGTGGGATATGTGTCATGCACAAAGTCGTATGTGCCTGTGAGTCTGTTTAATCCACTGGACACTGAAGATGGTTGGTACTTTTTTAATGAGAGGTGCTTATTATTGTATCACTTCCTTTGTTGTTCAGTGTTGATCCCTTTGACTTTCAATGCAAAATAAATGCCAGGTAATGGTAATAAAAACTAGCTATTGAGAACAGATTCGTACTGGCATTACAGTAGCAAAAACGTAGGCTATTCCTTTTTGTGTAAGGGAACATTGCAGTTATTTAAGTCACCTAAGGAAGGGAGAAGCATCAATAAAATGAGGTGTAACATGGTCAGTTGCTTTTTTAGAAAAAACTGGTTTAGAATTGCTTTGTTACAGTGCTGAACAGATTGAGTCACCCAGCTCCTGATGAAAGCTGAGAACTGAACAGTTTGATCTCAGTGTGAGAGGTTTGATGAAAGTGTTGGGATGCGTAACATACAAAGCTAGGTTATCACAGGACTGATATTTTCATTGTGTCCAATTAGCAATTTCAAGTGAAAGATTTGTAATATTTTTTTTCAGGTCTGTCAGCCTGTTCCTGTTAAGAGAGCACCTTACACAGGCATAGTCTCAGAAACATGGGTCACACAAAAACAATAGGCTCATTACCCAGTTGTGGCTCTTGCAGGTAACTGTCTCTTTTGATTAATGAAAACTTCTTCACTTAATGTTTCTCTGAAACTTCAAGAATGAAAGTGTAGCAGGTCATCTAGCTTGTGACAGGCTTGTCTGAAATAAACCTTCTTAGAAGCTGAGTTGTCTTGGTTTCTTTACATTTGATGAAAATGTGTGGCAGCTCAGGTGGGGAGGACCTTTTTCTGATTGGAGCCTCACTTAAGCTCAGTTGAGAGATGCAAATGGAGTTTAACTGCTAGACTGAGACATGGATATGAAGGCCCATAGAAAACCTGAGTTCAGTTAGCACCAAGAGTACAAACAGAGCATAATTGTTTGGCTTTCAAATTTACAGGGAAACAAACAAACAAACAAACAAAACCAGCTTGATGTAAAAGAATATATTCTTTAGTGTCCCTGTGTTACAGACAATAACTTTCCAACAATTGTGCTGATTGGTTAAGCTGATATATCTGGTTTGCAAGGACCACAGCTGTATTCATGCAATAGAGGTGCTGCAGTCAATGCTGGCAGTGATATAATGGATGATTGAGCTACTGTAAAGCTCAGTGCTGCTAACAGGGGAATAATACCCAGCATCTCCCCTTCCCTTTTCTACAGCGTCCACAGTGCCTAGTTGGTGTTGACACTCCCTCACCTGTATATGCCCTGGTGCTCGGTGGATCTTTCTGTGAGCTGATTTACTTGCTAAGCCAGCAGAAAACAATTAGCTTTTTTTTTCTGGGTTAGTTTTCTGTTGGCTCCGGAAGAGCCTAGCAAGGGAACCTAGCAGTGCAACATAGGGGTGGGATAAGGCAACTGGAAAGAAGGAATAGGCAACAACACCTCTCTCTTTAATCATTTAACAAGCAAAAGAAATGTCTCAGGAAAAAAAAGAACTAGGTAAGACCTTCAGCAATCCCAGTTGAGACATGATGCCGCTGCACGCGAACTGCAGCTGAAATGTTGTCTACTGCAACAGGGAGTTGATTAATATGGGTCAGGGGAACACTGAGTGGCAGTAAGCATGATGAAATCCAGGCTGAGTTTTGGGTGCATATGTGTACCAATGATGAAATCAGCTAGCCTGAGAAAGGATCTCCCACAGATGGATGTAAAGCCCCTCACATTAAATGGATCAGTTCTTAATACTAATATGAATATAGGGACAAACCTGCAGTGGTAGGAGAATGAAGTTAGCTTTTCCACATTTCATTGTAGCATTCCTTTAAAACTACCTCACAGTGAACCTCATCCAGGGCATCAGTAGCAGCAATAGGATGCAGCACCCTATTTGTTTTCCTCTGTCATAAGGAAGAAAGCTTTTGTAATAGAGAGAACTAAAGGCTAAAGATGCAGTAGAGTGAAGGAGGAACAATCATTCTCTCTAGCTCCTAGCACTCTTTCTCCATTATTACCTCTCTGAGCGACAAATTGCAAAGCAGAGATTTTCTTTTGAAAGATTATATCATATTGTTTTCTTCTTCTCTGTAGATAAAAGCAAATGAAAATGACCCTGCTGTCCCCACCAAAGAAGTACATTCTGGTTCCAGCAATCAATCTACAATCAACTTCTCAAGAGCCAACATGAAACAACAGCAACCAATAAACATTATACTGGGCTTCCTGCATGAAAGTTGTCATTGCAATTTCCCTTTAAAAGGAAGTTTGTTGTAAGAATTGGAAAATCCTTTTTAGAAAATTGAGTAATAATAATAACTACAATTATAATGTGGTAACAGTTCTATAGGTTCTTAAAAGTAGGTAAGTTTGGGGATGATACTGCTTGATATTTATCTTTAGAAGGCATCAGCTAACCTACAAAGTAAAAGCAATGAGCAATGGCCTTTAAGCACATTTTCTACATTGTCGCTCTGTTAGATCACAGGAGATGAATCCTAATTGTCTAATTTCACATAGTAGGAAGATCTCCTTTGTGCTTAGCAGTGCAGAGAATTCTGATAGAGATGCTGAATTTGATTTTTTGTTTTTCCCTTCTGTAAGAAGTTAGGACAGAAAAATGCTGATTCAGGGGAGCTGCCACTATTTTAGAGCTGCTGCTACATGTCCATATCCCTGTCTTTGAAGCAGTGTATACATTTCATCTGCACAGCCAAGCATTTTTTGGTGTGCTCAAGTGTCTCCTCTGTTACACCCTAGGCAAAGCTATGCTAACCATATTGGTGATTTCGCCTACAATACTGTTTGGGGTTCTGGCTTTGTGGAGAGACATAAACCACAACTTAAAGGCTTATGAAGTAGGAACATCAGAGCACAAACATAATGCACTGATTTCAAAAAACTTTTTCTTTGCTGAAAAACGTGAGGTTTCTCCCAATTTAGCTAATACTTTGGGTTGTGTAGTAGAATCAAATTCCTAATTTAAGAAAAAAAACACCTCAATTGCTCAATTTATTTGATTTCCCATTTGAGAGGTAATTGTATTCTTAGAAGCATTATTCTGTTACTGTTACCATGTCTAGACAGATTTTACCTTGGAAACCTATAATGTTGTTTAAAGTTGCATTTTCACATATGATAGCTCTTCTTTTTAAGCAACTGTCACTGTGGAATATTTAAGATAGAAAGGCCAACACAAAAACACATGTTCAGTGAGTTCATAGTTCATAGTGTAGAAACAGTATAACCTGTTTTTCAGTGCAACCCATGGGCCAAACGAGCACAGAAAGACTTTCAAATTTTGAGACAGATACAGAAAGCATGTAATAATTACTGTCATTTTTAATTTGTAGTAGAAAGCAGACTTATAGTTCCTGCTATATTCATAGGCATACAGTGATGTATGAGCTTGTATGAGAAGCAAACTACTAAGTCTGTAATTCCTGGTTCTCTAAATAGCAAAATAGAATTTTCTTTGTAAGATCGTGGAGGGTAATTATGGGGATGTTCAGAAAGAGCTAGCACAGGTTGCCGTTTTTCAGGTTGTCTTTGGGGTGGTAGAACAGCAGAACCAGGCATCCAGCACTATTACAATAACTATTACAAGTGAGCAGGGTTCAATGTTGACTTCTGTAATGGTCTGTGTCTGAGTTTGTTATCTATTCTCCCTCTGTAATCATCAGAGAGAAAGATTCTTCTGGAACATTATTCATCTCTGCATGAGGATCTAAACCAGGCTACATGAACGTGTCCACATTTGTTCTTTGAGATGAGATGAGTAGTTTTCTTGCAATGCCAGTTTGTATCTATTGACTACAAAGAGTGTGACCATGATGCACATGTCTACTCTGCAGCAGTCTTGTATGTAGCCTATCTTTGCTTCCCAGACCTGGATCTATCTGGTATGAAGGATGCCTGTCTTATGTTTTGTCTCATCAAAAGCATGTGTGAATCGTGAATCCACTCTTTTCAATTAATGTTTTGCTTGGTAGAAAAGCAGAAATTTGGGAAGATTAGGGAAAAAAGGCATGGGGGAGAAAAGACCTATTTCTACTTTTAACAATATCTTATATTTGTGTAGTCTTTCATCTGAGGCTTCAGGTTTTAATAATTATTAGAGCCTTGCAATTGCATGATATATCTGTGAGACAAGTAAAGATAGTTAGAATAAGTTTATGGTTGTGAAAACTATAGATGCTCAAACCTCTGAAATCACCCAAGTGATCGAAAATATATGTAGTTGCCTTATGTTTAACATCCAATGCTGGCTTAAGTGAGTTGCTCAAGGCCAAAATGATTCAATTATGACAGAAATGAAACCAAGGAGTGAAGACTGCCAGTCCTTTGATACTGTGGACATGCCCCAGACTTTCAAATGTCCTTTGGGTTCTTGGAATACCTACTGAGATCAAAGGATACAAAGGACTGCAGATCATGAAAGCCCAAAGGAACCTAGTTAGTGATTTTTCTAAAAACAGATGTTTTCACAGTGTAATAATGCTAAGCAGTTTAATGAGTTACATAAAAACCTGTTTTGTAACCTGAGCTCTCCAAACCATGAAAGTCTATTATATGTGGAAAAAATTGTAATATTTTTAGGTTTCCTATAGATTTTTATTTGATTAGAACCGAAGAAGCTTCTCCCTGTACAATTAGCAGACTTTCTAATCTTTATGTTGTATTTACTGCCCTGTAGCATGGATTATTCTCCTCATAGGAGGTATCCTTTGGATTTTTTTCTGAACACCTAGTTTTTAATTCCAATGACTGTTTTAACTGTTGTGCAAATGTCATGAAAAATTACCTGCATATTGTGAACAGGGATTTACACCAAAGTATCAGTTGTGGTTTTACATCCGTGAAAGCAACAAGTTATTGAGCCTGTCAGTTTTGTGATACTTGTATTTGTTTTGCCATGACACATGCTGGCCCTAGTACCTGAATCCTGCCTCTGTTTACAAGGTACCAAGTAATAGCCTTTGAGAAACTGTGTGACATCCAAAGTATTTCAGCTGTGCTATTCAGGCACTACTACTAAAGTTGAAATTGTCAGGCTCCAAATCCCTGCAATCCTTGTTCCTTTTACACTCATGTGGGGCACACTATAGTGGTGGGATCTTCATAGGGGTATAATTTTGGAATTGTTCAGGTCCCTGTTCCATAACACCAGTAATGAGTGACAGCAGAGCCCAGTTCAGTAAGATGTTTTTTCTAGTAGGCATGTAGTTGATTTGGGATGCAATGGGATTATAAATCATGTTTATGTCAGCACAGGTCCTGAACTGGAGCACGGGAAGGAGCACTGAGAGGTCTCTCAGTCCTGCCTGGGTCTGTAGACCCTGACAAGACTTATGTATTTGTCCTACATCTTCATCCCAGCTATCACTTGCTTATGACATTCTCACAAAGTTGTTGCTGGGCTGTGCTATAATTGTTTTTCTAAGACAAGAGATGCCCCATGTTAAGTTGGAAAGCTGGTTTAGAGATAACTTCGGCAGCCCACAGTTTCCTTGAGCCATTCACAGGAAAGAAATACAATGCCTTTCCCAGATGTTTGAATTCTACCTCATTTAGTCATAATCCCC